TGCCTTCTGTTAAGTCGAATGGGGCCCTGTTAGTTTCCGCTAGCATTGAAATGAATCTTGCTGTGGCCAGGGTTTGTGATGATAAAATTAATTTTCCAAATTCTTGTGTGATAAGAGTTGATAAAGTGAATGACCCACTTATCAAGAAAACTGATAGGAGAGTAATAGCTAAGACAACTTTTTTTTTTTTTTTTTTTGAGTCAGAGTCTCACACTGTTACCTGGGCTGGAGTGCAGTGGTGCCATCTCAGGTCACTACAACCTCTGCGTCCCAGGTTCAAGCTATTCTCCTGCCTCAGCCTCCTGAGTAGCTGGGATTATAAGCATGTGCCATCATTCATGGCTAATTTTGTGTATTTTTAGTAGAGACGGGGTTTCACTAAGTTGGCCAGGTTGGTCTTGAACTCCTGACCTCGTGATCCACCCACCTCGGCCTCCCAAAGTGCTGGGATTATAGGTGTGAGCCAGTGTGCCTGGCCTAAGGCAAATTCTTATGGAATTGTTTGGGCTACTGCTTATATGAGAGTGTGCCAATTATTGTGTATTTTGAATTGGATGTTCATCCTGATCATAAAATGGAGTAGATGGCTAAACTTGATGTGACTAGAATAAGTAATACTCCTGTATTTATAGTAGGAAATGGGATTTAAGGGGAGGGTTTCATATGCAAGGGTTAGGGCGAGGTAGGTGTGATGGTATAAAGGAGGATGGATGGCATTAGCTCTGTTGTAGTGGTTCTTTTTTTTAAATTTTTTTGTTTCTGCTTGAGAATTTTTTTTCTTGAGATGGAGTTTTGCTCTTGTTGCCTAGGCTAGAGTGCAATGGCACGATCTTGGCTCACTGCAACCTTCGCCTCCCGGGTTCAGGCGATTCTTCTGCCTCAGCCTCCTGAGCAGCTGGGATTACAGGCATGTGCCACCACACCCAGCTAATTTTGTATTTTTAGTAGAGACATGTTGGTCAGGGTGGTCTTGAACTCCCAACCTCAGGTTATCTGCCCGCCTCAGCCTCCCAAAGTGCTGGGATTACAGGCATGAGCCACTGTGCCCAGCCTGTAGTGGTTCTTTAATGAGTGGCTTGATAGCTTTGGCAAAGGGCTGGAATAATCCATGAGTCTGTGATATTAGGTCCCTTACAGAGTTGTATGTAACCTATTCATTCAATAAATGTTAAGAATGCTATAGTGGGCCGGGCGCGGTGGCTTACGCCTGTAATCCAAGCACTTTGGAGGCCAAGGCGGGTGGATCACCTAAGGTTGGGAGTTCAAGACCAGCCTTACCAACATGGTGAAACCCCATCTTTAAAAAAATAAAATTAAATTAAAAAATAAAGAATACTATAGTGAGAATGGTGGAAATAAGTAGGAGAAGGTTAGCAACTATAAACTTATTGTTAAGAAGAAGGATTAGTTTACTTTGTTTGACTAATGTGCCCTCAGTCAAAATCATTTTGAGATTATATTGTGCTCTGAGATCACCTTAAGTAAAATTTTTAGTTAATTGGATAAAATGTTAATACCTGTTAAGTTAGGTTAATTTTTGGATTATATGGACTAAAAATTTAAGTTCCATAGAGTCTTCTCATCTTATTTAATTGTTTTTGCCTCTTCACAGATAGGTCAATTGCACTGATTAAAAGAGACAGCTGGCCGGGCGCGGTGGCTCAAGCCTGTAATCCCAGCACTTTGGGAGGCCGAGGCAGGTGGATCACGAGGTCAAGAGATCGAGACCATTCTGGTCAACACGGTGAAACCCCGTCTCTAATGAAACTACAAAAAATTAGCTGGGCATGGTGGTGCGTGCCTGTAATCCCAGCTCCTCAGGAGGCTGAGGCAGGAGAATTGCCTGAACCCAGGAGGCGGAGGTTGCGGT